AGGCCCTGCCGGCCTGTGGTTGCGGGGCTGACCATGTAAGTAGCCGTACGATCCCCGTCTGGGCCTCGGCTTTTTCCAGGCGAACGGGACTTGGAGACCCCTGCGGGGGAGCGAGAGGTTTTGGGTAGGTGGGAGGCATAGCTGCCCTGGAGCGAGGCCCAGCACTGCCTGGAGACCCGGTGCTCTTCCCGTCTGCCAGGCCCTGCTAAAACAGACGAGCTCAGCCTCACGTTATCCTCGATAAAAGCCGTTATCCCTGTTAAAAGCTGTTATCCCCAATAAAAGCTGGCAGGTTCTGAGGTTACCTCCTCATTCCTGCCATGGGCTGCACACAAAGTGGTGAACTGGGAAGAAACTTTTATTTTCGATCTCCCTTTTCTTTTTTTTTCCATAGTGTTTTCTATATTGAAGCAGTCCTGGGGCAAAAAATGTGTTCTAAGTCGATGGAGAACTACGTGGCGTCCATGGTGCTGAGCGCAGTTGGCGACACGCTGGGCTATGGCAACGGGCAGTGGGAGTTCCTGAAGAGCGGCCCCGCCATTCACAAGCAGCTGGTGGAGATGGGGGGACTCAACAACTTGAACATTAAAGGTTGGAAGGTCAGCGATGATACAGTGATGCACTTGGCTACGGCCGAAGCCCTGGTAGCTGCCGGGAAAAATCCAGCCTTACCACAGCTCTATGCGCTGATTGCAACTAACTACAAGGAGTGCATGAAGGACATGGAGGGCAGAGCTGCAGGTAATCCCTTCATAACACTGCCTGGGCTTGAGGCTGTCTCCCGGCTAACATTTCTCCCTTTCCTGCAGCTTGGAGCTGAGGCTGGCCATTGCTCTGCTTTTGGCTGTTTATGGTGTTAACAGAAGGCAAAAGTTTTGCATGCTCAGTACCTGTTTCAGGATGAACTAAAGAGAGCAGAACAAGTCAAGCTGAAGTGGTTTGGACTTCTCTGAACCAGATGAAAAAGATACTGTTCTGCCTGTGTGCCCAAAACGTTCTTAGATGTGTGTTTGAGGCCTGGTCTTGAACTCCGGGAAAGGATGCTGGCTTTTGTGTTGGGGATGTGTTTTTTTCCCTACTCCTAATGGACGAAAAATGCAAATTCAACGATGTATAATGCACACCCTGAGATGCGGTGTTAAAGCAACACATTTAAACAGAGCATTAATACAGAACTTATAATAAATTACACATAAAATATATTCAAAGGCTCAAAAATCCTTACTTAGAATAATTAAGCTTGTTGAATGCAAAGTCTACTTTTTGCGCGACGTCTACTTTTCGCTAGCTCTGCATGTATGCTTTCTGTGACAGGACAGTCAGGCCACAGTCGTCTTTTCTAAACCCTATGCATCCACCATCTCTCTTCTCTGTGTAGACCCAATGGTGCCAACTTTGGGTCACAGACAGTGAGGACTGGCAGTGTGTGGCAGTATTCAAGAAGGGCGCCTTGACAGGCTGCAGTAGCCAAGCCATACACAACATACTCCTGTAGATCCTAGTTCTCCCAGGCTTGCTGACCCAACTCTTCCCTCAGAACTCTGTCTGTCCCTGTGCTCATGGCCCAGCCTCTTCTGAATACTTGAATTAAATTTATATTGGAGCTGCCGAGGCTGAGCTGCTCGTTTGACTATTGCAGGCAGTGTGAAATATCCAGGAAACAAATTCAGCAATCCTATGCAGAGTTTATACATCCAAAAGAAATTGCTGAGACATTGCTATAGGGAGTGGCCAGAATATGTCAAGAATGTTCTGGCTTGACATTAGACATGAGAAAGGCCAAATCCTGCATTGCTTTCGTAGGGCCAGTGAGGATAGTGTGACAGAGCTGTGCATTTCCAAGGTAAACCAGGTTGGAAACTCAAGCAGGAATTTATTCTGCTTAACTTTCCACGGTGACCTGCTAGCCTCATGTAAAGAACTAAACAGTATTCTTCAACACAGATAGTTTCAGTTGTTGGGAGTAGCCTAATTAAAATATTTAGGAAAAGGTAACAATACTTGCCAGGAGACAGCAGGTTAAATTTCTGAGAGGGTTGTTTCTGTTTTGGCAAAGGAGGATCTTGTAGTTCCCTCAGTTGATGGTCTGCCAAGGTGGACTAACAACAGCTGGCAGTGAGACAGCACCAGGAAGCTATTTTTGCCTCTGCTATCTAAGCTTGGTGACTAAAACCTGAGATGAAACAGCGAAGAACCTAAAATTTAAGTAATTAAGTAGCTAATGATAATAGCACACCTGCTGCAGTCCTTTTATTAGTAACTAAGCTGCAGTATGCCCAAAAGCAGTTCCCAGTTGGAAGTGGGTAATTTTAAAGGAAATTTGCTGTGGACACTAATTGGAGTGACAAGGAAAGGTCAGGTTTTGTAGCTAAACAAAGAAATGCAACTTCTTTAGTGGGTCTGTGGATACATAAACTCCTAAAATTTTGGGGCAGCGGTGAAAGTAACATGGTAAAAAGTCATAGTCTGTTGGGAATGTTCTAGCGATAGCATTTTGGAGTGCTCCTGCTGTAGCCACAGAGAAAACACTCAGCTCTGAAAGCTTAAATCCTAACACTTAACAATTTCATACCCACTGACCTTCTGCCAAAGGGAATATCTAATCCATATCCTGAAAAGCTGTCTGGAGTCTCCATGCCATACTGATAAATCCTAGCAAAAGAATTTGCATGTCAATAACTTCTGCCAAAGCAGTTCAGAGTAAATGAATTTTAACTGAGAACGTAACCCAAGATGACGCTGTTCTGGCCAAAGTAGTCACTGGGGAATCACAGCCCTGAAGGCTGAGAATGGAAAGTTGCTGCAACTTTCACCTGACAGTGAAGAGATTCCCCCAGAACAAATGGGGAAAGTCACATTGCTTGCCCACGCAAGGGAGTCCAGACCCCAAAACCAAAACTCGCAGTAACAAAGGGATTCCCACAATGTTATGAGTCATCAGACAACCACTGCAGGGTCCCTCAAGTATGCAGCCCCAAGAGACAACTCACTGTCTTAATTCAATAGCGAGTTAATCCCTAAGGCCATTATTGCTGTTTGTGATGTGATGCAGCCCCAGCTCCATTGTTCTTTGCAGATAATGAAGGCAATTAACTAAGTGACACAAACAAGGACAGACTTCTTTTTTTGTGGTAGAGAAACATCTGCTTCCACAGCTCTCCAGGAAACCTTCTGCTTCAGAATTGTCTTTCGGTTCAAGTCCTCTCCTTATGGAATTTGACCACTATGTAGCTGTTTTAACTCACCTTTTTTATGTATATGACTGATCCCAAAGAACTGTTACTGTCTGTGCTCATGAAGAGTCTAAATAAGTGCAATGTAAACCTACTTCAGAAAGGCTTCAAGTCCAGTTATACTTGAAACTTTTTCAGGTTGTCTTTCTTCACACACTGCTTTTTGGTTGTATTTCTTTTTTTCTTAGATCAGTACACTGTTCAGAATACTTTTATTTTCTTATTTCTAGTACGACAGATTCCTAACAAGGAATTGGTGTATTTCCAAAACAGATTTTCCCGATTCAAGAAAATCCTACAGCTGTCTTTTTAAAAAACCCCTGTTTCTTAAAAAAGACCTGACAACATGATTTCAGCTTACTCTTCCTAAATCGGCTTTCAAGTGTTTTAATATTTTAAATGTTTAAAAGCATGAGGATAATACTTACAATACTTCATAAATCACAAGAGTCTTAGCTGTCACATGCTGGTTTGTTTTACACAATTTTTTTGCATTTGCAGATTATCAGGAGTCATCTCTTAAAGTACTATGCACAGGCTTAAAGTTGCAAGCAAATTTTATAGCAAAATAACCAGTCTTTTTTATAGTTTAAGCTTTGTCATCTTCCTCATTCTCTTTTGGCTGCAGTTAATGCAAGAACAATCTCACTTTTGATGAAGTACTGAGTTGCCTGGTCTCGATCTGCCCAAGCATGTCCTGAAGAAATGTCTTTCTCTCAGTTCCAGCAAGATTAGAGTTTGTTTTGCTTTTGTTATGCAGATTTTGATTTTACGATGCCCTAGTCCCTTTGCTCTCTCCCCTTCCCCTGGTCTTCCTGGCAGAAGGTCTGTTTTACCAGGAACATACAAATAGGGTTGTCGGCACAGCTTTTTAAAAGCACGGCTTTATTTGGCAGGGTTTTTTTAAATGTCCTGCTATAGGTCATAAGCGCAATGCTTAGTATAGTTAGGTTTTTGAAAAAATGCCTTGATTTTCTGTTAATCATTATGAGGTTGGAAATTATACTGATATCCCTCTTAATGATTTTGATATGTAGCAGCAAGCTACGAATTAATAAACTACATGCACTGAATTAATGAACTGCATGAAAAACCAGATTTAGAGGCCTGATCATGTTCCCACTTTGAGACATCACAAAAACAAACTCCCAGGCAGTTCACTTGGAGGTTGGTGGTGATCGGTCCTGGCAGAGGCCAGTGCTACCCAGGCTGTGCCTGCCACTTCCTCCAGCAGAGGAGCGTGACCTCAAAATTTTCACTCTGTAAATTACAGGGAAGAAGGACATGTAAGGCAATCTGGGCTGATGCAGGAGTGGGTTGGCTGGGTGGCACCTCAAAACCAGCAGGTCTCATCTACTGGGAAGGGTGTGACAGTGGCATCAGGTGAGAAGCTGGTGTGCTGGCACAGCAGGCATAGATGAGGCTGGTGAAATAGGATGTCGGGTTCGTGTCTGGGTCACATCGTGGGGAATTCACGAGCACTAAAGGGGCCTGACGTTGTGGGCTGATCGGCAACGCGTTTTTTTCCGATGGGGGTGACTTGCTTAGGCCATTTCTATTCTCAAAGTTGATTTCAGTTGATGGGCTTGCAAATAGCCCAACAGCGACAGGACTGAGTCGTTTTGGGTTTTTTCAGTTTGAGACAACCATTCATAGGGGGCTGGTCCACACGTTCACACGGAACAGAGAGCTGTATCCTGGGTTGATCCAATAAGTTTATAATGTAACAACACTGTTAGGAAAGAAAGATTCCAAAGACACTTAGACTAGCACATGACCTTATTCCTGACAGCAGCTATTATTTATTTTTAGTGTATGTCCAGAAATCAATCTTAAAGCCATGCTTGGGTATGGAAGTGTTTCAGTTACAAGGGTGCTGTAAATTCTGTGTGCAGGTAAAATGGACTGCCAGATACCAAACCCTGCTGCCAAGCATATACATGAACGTGCAGAAGTGAAGAGCTCTGCAGAGTACTTGGTGCGATACGTGGCTATGATTAGCGAGGTCCCAGATCATGGCCATGGATTTGCATCAGAGGTGACTGTATTGTGGAGTTAGGCGAAGTTTCTTGACCAGGCTTCTTCCTTGCTGCTCTATTCTATTTAGTTTGACTTTGCAAGTAACAAAGCACCACCAAATTTATCAGCTACTTGCCCCAGTTAGGCAGCAAGTACATGTGTGAACCTGTCAGCTGCTGCTCTTAACCTATGTGTCTGAGAGAGGACTGGGCACTCTGTGGTTCGGAAAAGACTGGTCTTTTCAATCCCCTTTTACCATTTCCAACTTACTAAAACTTAAATAAAGCTGCTTGAAACCTGCCCTTGATTTTACCTTTCTGTTGGAAAAAAAGTATTTCAGATTTGGCCAGAAGAATAGAAGAAAAAGGCAAGGTAGAAGAGCATCAAAGATAATTGAATGTTTCAAACCTATTTCCTCTTTCTTGCACACAAGCATCTTGGCTTAGCTCTCAAAACATGTTTCACGGTCTTGTCTGGGGAAGCTGGCTGGGCTCTGAAATTTGGATGTTTGTGCAGGTGGCTTTATGCTATGAATGTGCTAGACTAACAAGTGAATTTCTGAAGAAGCTGCACGGGAAGAAGCAGATTAATTTCTTTAAGAATAGCAGAACTATGAAAGAGATGGAGGTGGGCAAGGAGGAGGAGTTACCTTGTGGCTTCCCACCAGAAGAGAGGCAAAATTGGACTAGGACGTCAGCTCAAAGCTGGAGAAAACTGAGGAAGGGGGACAAAGCACATGCAATCTTGAATAGCATGGAGCACAAGTTGGTATTTCTTGTAAGAATTAGACAACAATTGAAGGAAATTGTCAAATAGCAGTTTAAAACAGAAGGAAATGCTCTGCATAACAGAATCTTGGCTCTGGGTACCATGGGATGTTAAAAGAGTCTGAAGGCATGCATGGCTTCAAGCTAAGGAGACCAGTTCATGGTAGCTGGGGCTGCTGTAGGTTGTTGAACACACCACCTCGGTTCCATCCTCTGACTCAAGCAGGCTGTGCTCCTTAGTCTGCTGGAAGCCAGGCGAGTCTCCTTGTGGAAACATTGTGCTTGCCCCACTTTTTGTAGTGTTTCAGTTAGATGAGCCAGTGGGCTGGGCAAACCTTTAGTCTCACCTAGTACAGTTGTCCTTCGGCTCACTGAAGAGGAGTACAGTAAAGCTGGTTATGCAGACCAAGTTGCAGTGAGGGTGATACTACATTCATCACTTTCTGAGAAACTTAAAACTGCAGCAAGGGAGATCTGGAGAACATTTGCTACATCAGTGAGGCAATTGGAAAGATTCCTGGGGAGCTTACCTACAAAGAGGCTTAACTAAGAAAGCAGAGGTATGTAGCCTTGTCTTGGGTCAGGGATCCTCCAAACCTCCTTTCTGTTTCTATTTAGATAGATAGATAGATAGACAGATAGATAGATATATATATAGATACATGTGTGCATAATATACCTAATATATATAGTATGTATGTTTTAGAGATAAATTAAATAATAATGTGAAAAGTAAATATAAACAATATAAATCAATCAGCAGTGGAGTATTTCTTACCTCTGCAGACTTTTTAATTATTTTCACAAACAGGAATTATCAGGTCTGCTTGGGAGCCTGCAGGATGCACTGGCAGCTGAAGGTAGGATACATGTGCAGGCAAACAACTGATGTTTTTGAAGGGCAGCTTGAATCCCTCACACAGAGCATTGCTTCTTTCTCCACCACCTTGCCTGTCTTCCCTCAGTTCCCAAGCTATGTGATCCTGTCTCCTACTGATGCATGTTTCCTTTTCTTCTTTCTTGGGCTCTGCCACTCTGTCCAGGGACGACATGTAGAGAAAACGCGCGGAAGCTGGATCCAGGGCAGCCGGATGGCTGGAAGATCCCGTTCAGCCCCCAGGGGGGAGGCTGCGGGGCCGCCATGCGCTCCATGTGCATCGGGCTGCGTTTCTGGCACCCTGCTGAGCTGGACACCCTGGTGAAAGTCAGCATCGAGAGCGGCCGAATGACCCACCACCACCCCACCGGCTACCTAGGGTCCCTGGCTTCGGCCCTTTTCACAGCTTTGGCGGTGAATGGCGTGCCCCCCCTGGCCTGGGGGAAGAGGTTGCTGGAGGTGCTGCCGCAGGCAAAAGCCTACGTGCAGGACACCGGCGTCTTCGTGGAGGAGAACATGAAGGAATGGTGAGCTGTGGTTTTGTTAACATGAAAATAAACCTCATGGAAGAGAGGGCAAGCTCTGTTTATACTTAAGCTTCAGTAGTCACGTTATGGTAACCTCCTAGAGCAGTGCACAAATCAAGTCAGAAGGTCTTTGAAGTCAACTCTTTTTTGGGAAAAAAAAAAAAGGCAGATTGTGCTTGAGTTGTGTAATCGTGACATTTTTTGGATCCAGTGTGAGGCCGTTAGACTTGTCATCTCAAACAACTGTGATCTGATGAAAGATGGGAAGCAGGGCTGGGGCACAGCACCAGGCTTAGGGCTGAGCTCAGTCTGAAAGTTCTAACCAAATCTGGCTGCAGATTGAGCACAGCTCTGTACGCAGGGGTGCACACAGGCAAGGGTAGAGGTACTCTGAATTTGGGAGGATGACTCAGTTCTTGCTCTGAGCCTTTGAATCCTGCACAGTGTGACAGCAGCAAGTGCTGGGCTGCCTTCTCCCATGTGGCTGGAGAGAGGGGAACTCTTAACTCACTGAAACATGTCCTTGTGCCTCTTACTGTAAATCATGCCCCTCGTTTGACAAATGCGGGGTGCCTCCCATTTTGCCAAGAAGTCGCTTTGGGCTCTTGACGTGGCACGTTTTCGGCTGTCAGGCAGTACGCCTGCAGGTATGCGTGTTTGCTGTGGGACGGCTCTTGCAGCCCCTCTATCCTGTCTCCTGTTTTGCAGGCATTACTTTGAAGAGCAATGGAAAAAATACCTGAAGCAGAGAGGCATACTGGACGGAGTCTCACCACCCACCTTCCCCCTCAAGTATGGCGTGGAAGAGAGAGATTCATTCTACACCTCCCTCAGCTACGATGGCTGGGGGGGCAGTAGCGGCCACGACGCCCCCATGATCGCTTACGACGCGCTGCTGGGTGCGGGAGATTCCTGGGAAGAGCTGGCTCACCGGGCTTTCTTCCACGGGGGTGACAGTGATTCGACCGGCACCATCGCGGCCTGCTGGTGGGGGGCCATGCATGGCTTCCACGGGGTCCCCCCCTCCCTGCACTCCCACCTGGAGTTCAGGGATCGCCTGGAGCGGGTGGCCCAGGACTTGTATCACCTTGTATTGCCTAAGCAGGGTGGGGTGGGGGCAGCAGGGCCATCAGGAGTGTGCTGACCTCACCTGCCACCCTTCACTTGAATTTAAGTGTATCAGCATAAGCCAGAGTCAGGCCACCTTTCTCTGTTCATGTGTGTTGGCTTCAGTGGCAGGCCATTTCAGAGCTAGCAGCTTGGGGCTTGTGGGTGAGGGAGTTGGGGGGAAGCAGGCACAAGGTTGTCTGACAGGAGTATGTGATGATCCCTGAGAAACCCTTCCTCTGCCACACGGCAGCTGCACATCCTCTGGTCCTCGAAGGGAGCGGGAACACCTGCTGCTGCAATGCCAGCTGTGTTCCAGCTGCGGGACAGGCAGCAAAACCCACACGAGCTGCCCCAAAACAGGGTCCTGCCCATACCAGCTCAAGCTCACCACTCGGTACTGCCAACGGGGAGTGCCGGGGACAACGGTTTCCATCCAGCACTGAGCATCCATAGAGCTGAAACCTCTGCTGTTTAGCGAAACTGTAGCAAATGCAACTCAAAATAACTGACAGGGGGAGCCAGGGGGGTGAGGGCAAACAGCCGATTGTGTCTGGGGTTAACAGGGTTTTCTCATACCATTATTTTGGCAGAGGATGTTTTTCTTGTTTTAAATTAATGTGGGGAGAAAAAACAAACCCAACCATATAGTGGCATCAGCAGTACACTTCACACAACTTCACAGCACTTTTCCTATACAGGTAAGAAGGTATCATGCTATTTCCCTGTTTCGGTTAATGTGGGACTTGTAGACTACTGACAAAACCCTTACTCGAGCTAAAAGTGGGTAATGCGAATTAACAGCTTGCATTTTATATCAGCTTAAGCTACTTCTTTAGCAAACTATATTATGCTTAAATCAAGGTTACTAAAAATTATTTGTGTAACATTTGCTCTGGATAATTCTATTTAAAAATATGGTTTTTCTTCAATTCTGGACTATGACACAGCAAAGTACTTACTGTTTTCAGAGCAATTTCAAAACCAGTATATCCCATTCTATAAATAGACCTTACATGCTGCTGTTAAATGTTATATTCTATTACGGGATGAAGGAGAACTACGAAAAAACAGAGAGTGTGAGGTGTCTGCAAGCTCCAGCCTGCAAGAGAGAGATGTGCTGCTGGGGTGGGAGGTGAGTTAATGCATCAGGGAATGTGGGTGGTTTGAGAGGGAGAGGCTGCCTAAAAGCGGGAGTTCAGCACACCTTTATGCAGGGAACACACGTTAAAGGCATAATGAAAGCCCAAATCTGACAAAAACCAGCAGCAATAGGATTCACAATTTCAACACGGTTTACTACAGCTCTCAGGTGTGTTGTATAAAACATGTTTTAGTGCAACATAGTACAAAGTTTTTGTTGTTTTCTTTTTAAAAAAAAAAAACCCAAACATTTTTCCACATCATGCATGGATAGACTATCTCTCTTTCTTCTTGGGTTCATTACAGAAAGTTATGAGCAGAGAGAGTGGTTTGAAAAGCTTCGTGTTAAAACTTGTTACAGGAAGAGTCTGCCTTATAAAAACAGAAGTTTGAGACTGGGAAACACGCTGCCAGAGCAATGGAGAAATGTCTCTGGCAAGGTACATTCAGGGACCACGGTGGGAGCCGCTTCCTGGGAAAGCCTGGGCTCGGTGCAGGAACCGCTGGGCTGGGAAGGGACTCATTCTGGCCAGGGGCAGAGAGCCACGGGACAGCCCTCCCAGAGAGCCCTGCTTGGGGGCGGACGGGCTCAGGTGCAGCACAGCGCTCTCCCAGGAAAGAAGAGCTGACGCCGACTTCATTTCCTCCTTTTTTTTTCTTTAAAGCTGAAATGTGTTGCAGTTCCTGCCCGGGAGCAGTATATTAAGTGAGAGAACTACATTTATGAAACAATACCCACTGGCTGCAGGTGCTGCTGCTTGTGCTTCGGTTCTTCATTTCCATTCACTTCTCATCCCACTCCTCTCTCTGCACAGACGCCTTATCCAGAAAGGAAAGACAAGTGAGTGGGGGTGTGTTACATATATATATAT